TCCGCAAGTAGTGGGTTACACACATTGGGCTGCTAGCTCCTCTTCCTCCTGCTCCTGCAGCAATTGCTCAGCCTCCATCTCCTCCATCAGCGCCAGCTCCTCCTCAAACTGGGATGGCCGGGGCGCGTCATCCTCATCCCAGAGGCTCCCACGGGCCCGCTTTGGGGGCACCCCGGATCTGACGGCCGGCCGTCGCTTGCCGTCCATCCTGCTGGGCAAGTTGGGGCAGGGTGAGGGTCCCGCCCAGAGACAACCCTTGCTTTCCCTGCCTCCTCCAGGGCCTTCCAGGCCCCTACCGTGGCCGCACGGGCCTTTTAATTCTCGGACAAGGCTGAGGATTAACACAAGGCCTGGGAGACTCCAGAGGCTCAATCATTGTGAACTAGCATCGGTCCGTCCTATCCTCCAGCTCAACTTAACCCCTTTTCCCACCTGCTCCAGCCTCCACACGTCCATCCCCCCATTTATACAACCCTCTCACCCACCCCTGCCCGACCAGGCCTCTTCAAGAAGCTCCGGCTGGTTAGGCATTGCTGCTAATCACAAAATCAGGGGTCCAAACCCATCAGCCGCTCTTGCAGACAAAGGTTCTGGTTGGCAGTCTGCTTCTGTACAGACTGAGAGCCATGGCAACCTTTCGACTCTGTCCTCGAAGAGCGCACGGTGAGTCACAAAATGACTGGACAGTTCTCCACAGCCACCAGCTCTAAAGGTGAACAACTGCTGCCGGGCGGTACACACGCCTCGCCACAGCCCACCATATGCAACCCAAGGGGCCGGGTTTGCCCGAGCACAGAGAAGGCTCAACAGAACCAGGAGACCAAGGCAGGAGGTGGAGAGGGTGCTGTGACGGCCCTCGTGGGGGCTGCGATCTGTAACACGGGATGAGCTGGAAAACCAATTTGCCCTGTAAACTTTCACGCAGACCACTGAGATGTGTGTGTGTGTGTCCCACCAGTCTGAACATGAGGGACTAGGGGAAGCTAGTGCAGTGCTGGAGGAAACCTGGAGGCACGGTGGGTTGGGTCAAATATGTGCTGCGTGAACCCCGAGCCTCACTGAGGAACAGAACGGATCTCTCTTTGAGATAGAAAACCCCAGCGAGGCCACTTCCGTCTGAGTCAGTTCCACACCATGGGGAGGATTCCAACTCACAGAGACCCTATCAGAGAGTTAAAAGCCCACCCCAACGCCGCCCCGAGTTCCCAAGGCTACATCTGGATGGGAGGAAATAGTCACACATCTTTCTCCCTCAAAATGGCTGGGGGTGGTATTTAAAGGACGGACCTTAAGGTTAGCAGGGCCACCAGGGCTCCTTTGAGCAAAGGGGGCCAAACACAGAGCAGGGCTCCCTAGCCGACGCCGGGAACTGAGCCCCGGGGACCTGCGGGAATCCTCTCCTTTGTTTCTGTGAAAGTTCTCAGGGAAAGAAGGGGGAGTAGGGAACTCCCTTAGGGGAAGCCCCCAGAGTTGATGGACCCGTAGAGCGAAGCCATGGTGGATCAGAAGTGGCCCAGGGTGGGACCAACTGACCATCCAGCAGGTGCCATGCGGTCAGTCCTGACTCATAAGAACCCCACATGTAAGAGTGCGACACAGGTCCTCCCCGGTCCTCGCTATAGTTGTTCAGGGTGGGCGGTCTAGGCCATCACTTTCCCTGAACAGACTGCCAGCTCCTTCTCCCTTGAAGCCGCTGGGCAGGATCCAACCATCAACTTTCTTTCCAGCTTACCGCTGGGCGCTCAACCATTGTGCCACCGCTCTGCCCAACGAGTTCGTGGGCACCAGGTTTTCCTTCTTCTGGGGGTGATAATGTTTTGAAACTAGCTAGTAGGGGTGGTGGCCGACCATTGCAAATGGGAGAAAAGGCTGAGGATTGGCTACCTATAACATGATAAACCTTCACACTCACCATCTCCTCGCGCCGCCCCGCACCCCGCGCCCCAACCCCCCCTGCCCCAAGTCAGCAAAACCAATCTCTGCGAACAGTAATCAGCTGATATGGGGCAGGGGGCGGCAGAGGTTGGCCAGGAAAGTGCTTTCTGGGGATGAAATGTATGTTACTCAGTGGCTCAGGCAGCAAGGGACACGTGGCTGGATGGCATCAGAGCTCGGTCCCCAGTGAGGGCCACACCTAGGAACTGAGGCTGGGGACAGGGCATGGCAAACAAAAGGCCTGCTTGTCCAAGGGAATCCCCGGTGGTGGTGGCATTGTTGGAGATCACCAACGACCGGAAAGCACCTAGATGTCCTGCTAGGTGACTATCTGCACCAATTCCGGCCACTCCACTAGACCGACCCCCAGGTGGCAAGGAGGGGCAACCGGGACGAGGAAGCTCTGGGTGTTCGTTCGGAGAGGGGAGGCCCTCAAAGCCGCACCTGGGAAGCCAAGCTAAATATCTGCTTTGTGAAACAGGAGGAGAGGGGATGTTTCAGGTGTCAGGTGCAATCAAGTCTGTTCCTGGTCATAGCGCCCCTGTGCACAACAGACCGTAACACCGCCCGGTCCTGGGCCATCCTTACTATTGTCCCTACGCTCAAACCCATCGGTGCCGCCATTGTGTCCGCTCATCTCCCTTGTCCGCTGCCTCTGCACTTCCCCGAGCATGATGTCCTTCTCTTGGGACCGGCCTCTCCTGACAAAAGGAGCTTTCTGGCTGGGCTTCTGCCACCACGACGGGTCGGTGTGTCCCTTTAGCAGTCCCTGGTACTTTGGATCTCCTTCACCAGCCACCACAATTCAAAAGCACGGATTCTTCAGATGGTGCTTAGCAAAAACAAAAGCCCCACAAGAGTGAAAACGCTTACCCTGCCTCTGGTGATTAGAGACCTGTAGAACGGTTCTGTAGAAAACTCCTGACTGAATGGCTGTTCTGGGAAAAGCAAGGAAGAGACTCAAGGGGCTGAAGAAATACGACAGAGTCCCGCGGGCACAGTGGGGAAGGGCACAAGGTGGCTAACCTTCTGCGGGAGAAATATGGGGGCTGCCTGCTGCTGCAGCCTGGGAAACCCTACAGCGGGGCAGCTCTGCTCTGTTCTACAGGGCAGCTAGGAGGTGCAAAGTACTGGGTGGCCGAGGACTGGGTTTTTTTGGTTTAGACCAGCTGGGGTTCCAGGAGACAAAGCAGCACAGCACGCTGCCAGCCCTAACTCGCAACCACCACAAGCCTCCTTATTCACTGCCGGCCAAACACCTCCGTATCCCTCCCATCAAAGTAAACCCGTGTACCATGATCTTGGACCTGGACCGTGGCAACCCATTTGACTGGCTGAGGATTGGCAGCCTCAGGACCGCAGCACTTGCCTCAGGGGATTGGGGAGGAGTCTATTCGTCCTTTCTGGAACCCGTCAGTCAGCTGATGCTTACTGTGCACCTGCTCTCTTCCGCAAGTAGTGGGTTACACACATTGGGCTGCTTAACACAAAGTCAGCAGTTCAAACTCACCAGCCACCCTAAAGGAGAAAGAAGAGGCTTTCTACTCTCCTTCAGTAAAGAATTACAGCCTCAGAAACTCACAGGGGCAGTTCTACCGTCCTGTGCGGTCACCATGATTCGGAATCAACTAGATGGTGGTGAGTTTGGTCAGTCCTGATACTCTGTCACCAGGCGGTGCTGTGGTTTTAGACTGCTAAGGTTCAAACCCACCAGCCACTCCATTGGATTAAGATGAGGATGACTGTTCCCCTAAAGACTTACAGTCCCGACAACCCTATACAGGAGCACCATGAGTGGGATCAATTGATGGCAGTGGGTGTGAGTGGGTACCTTGTCTCACGTACTTTTCCAGGTGGATGAGATATAAGGGGGGGGGGGGGGGCTTAAAACATTTTGCGGGGGGGAAATCCCATGACCTTAATTCCATTTTTCCCATGAGCTTTTGGACGCTCCTTAATAATGGTGGCATCCAGGCGATTCCCACTCACAAGGACCCCACGTGACAGGCAGGTTTCCTCGGCTGTCATCTTTGTGACTGCAGATCGCCAGGTCTTACTTCCTGGTGCCAGGTCTAGGCGGGCAGCTTTTTGGTTCGCTGCGAAATGCTTAACCTCTGCACCACCAGCGCTTCTTGGACAAGATACCCAAACCACACTCACTGTCACCGAGCCCATTCCCATTCGTAGAGACCCAATAGGGCAGGGTCGACCCGCCCCTGTGAGTTTGCCAGCCTGTCGCCTCGTTCAGGGAGCAGGAGGCTCCCATCAGAGCGGCTGAAGACTTCAAATTGGGGGTCGCACAGTGGGAAGCCCACCGGGTAACCCCTACACTACTCCACCAGGGCAGGATCTAGCTGGAAACAAGACAATCAAAAGCGCTGCTGGCAAGGTGCTCCTGTCCTGAGGAGCCCTGGTGGCGCAGTGGGTTATACATTGGGCTGCCAAACGCAAGGTCGGCGGTTCAAACACCAGCAGGTCCCCCAACGAAAGATGAGGCTTGTCTGCTCCCCAAAACCCTGGGGAGCAGGCCTACCCTGTCCTATAGGGTCGGAATTGACTTGCTGGCTGTGGGGTTTGGATTTTAGTAGTCTGAAGGTCCGTGTCCCCCCCCTCCCCCCGAAGACCCGCAACCCCCACGCAGGCGACCCTGCACACCAGAGCCCCCACCTCCTTTTCTAATACTACTGACCCCCGCGCACGCGCCTGGGGGACACCAGGCCCCTGTCCCTATTCCGCGCGCGCCCCAGCGCAAAGGGGCTCCCTGCCGCCGCCAGGTGCCACGAGACCCCACACAGCCCTCTCTCATGCCGAGTTCCTCCGGTCGTCCCTCCTGTTCGGCCGAAGCCCCCACAACTTCCCGTCTTCCTCCACTCACCCGCTTCAAACAGCGTTTCCCGCCACGGCCGACGCAGCCGTAACCCCTGACTCTGGCGCGCGCTGACGCAAAAGCGCCGCGCGCCGAGAGGGGCCCCGCCCCTCCAACCAAAGTACCAATTAAACCACGCCCTGTGTATCAATCTGCCTCCACCCACCCTGCCAGTCAGGCCCCGACTCCGCCTCCTGTCCGGCACATCCTCCCCTTACCACGCCCCCTCTGGGCTGGTGCCCGCCCCTCCGTGACGCCAGAGAATAAGCCACGCCCCTCCAACATTTGCCGCTTGGTATTGTGTGCGCGCGCAGCGACCCGGCTTTTTCCCTCCGGCCCCGCCTTCTGTTCGGGTGCTGCGCGCGCATCTCGCGCCTTCCCGCCTGAGACCCGGAGGGGAAGCTGTCCCGCACTTTGAGCGCGCGGGTCTCTCGTCCGCCTTCCCTGCAGATTCTGGCACATAGGCGCCTCTCAGACCCTGATTTAGGCTCTTGATTCACGGCCTCCGATTCCGTGTCTGGATCTATCAGAGCGGGGACACGGACAGGCGTAGGGAGAGTCCTCCATGGAAATCAACATACCTGTTGGACCACTCCTGCCCACAAGCACCCTACACAAGGACGCAGTCTGCTCATCTCACCTCTAGCTCCTCAGAGCCTGGCTCACAAGAAGCAGGACTTGTGGGAACTCCATAGCCTGTCCCGCTCTAAATTCAGCTCAGGAACTCGGGTGGTGTAGTGGCTACTAGTTGGCAAGGTCAACACTTTGAAACCACCAGCCGCTCTCAGGGAGAAAAAATGAGGCTGGTGAACTTCCCTCAAGCTAGGCTCCAGGCGACTGAGCCTCTCATTTTTTATGTCCTAGGGACATCTCCCTAGTATTTCTCCCCTTGGGCCCCACAATGTCACTGGCGGCTGGCTTTGAAGCACAATTCCCATATCGTGTGCCCACCCATCTCTGCACTGCCTGCCCTGAAATGGTCTGTTCCTTTATTTTGGTTTTTTCCCAAGTACAAATGTGTATCATGTACGGTAAAACGTGTGAGGACCCAGGCTCCACGGACCGCCCAGCCAAGTCTCACAAGTATGACATCTCTAGGCTCTGTCTTTCAAAGGCTTTTAAAATAAAAAAAATTTTTGGACGGAACTCACATGTGCCCCCAAATGTCACAACTACGTTGGCTCAGGGGCCATTCTACCCTGTCCTATAGGGTTGCTGTGGGTTGGAATTGATTTTTTATAAGCAGGTTGACAGGCCTTTCTTCTGAGACACCCCCAGGTAGACTTAGAAGAACCAACCTTTCCGTTAGCAGCCTGTTGGGTGGTGTCGGCAAAGAATGTTAAATACGCCATGGATGCGATAAGAACGAATACATCTATCTTGGAAGAGGTAAGACTTCAACTCACACACGCTGGGCGTGCGATCAGGAGGGACGAGTCCCCTGGAGGACATCGTGCTTGGTATAGCGGAGGGGGCGAGATGCATCGCCACCGGGGCTTCAACCAGAAGCGCCTATGATGGGTGAACATTTCGCAGGACCAGAAGGGGTTTCCTTTTGCCCTCAGGGCACGCTGTGAGTCGGAACTCATTCAAAGGTGCCTAACAGGGACTCTAGGTCCACCGGTGGCTGTTGGGAAATGCTGTGGATGGAGCAAAAACCGAGTCCCATTTGGTCTCCACGCTGTACAGGAGGGTGGCCCCCGGAGACCACTACCCTGGGCCCCAGGTTGTGCGCATCGGGGGCTGGCCTCGGGGGCGTCTGGCTGCCGGCGGGGGCCAAGTGTCCGGCATGGCCCCAGACCCTGGCAGACCCCTGGACCCACACACACACACACACACTCAGGCTGGGAGCAGGTTTGTATGCGTACTTTATTTTCCTGTTTTGTCTTTTAAAAAAGTTTGTATTAAATAAAGGAGCAGAGGGAGAGGGGGGCCCGGGGGGCCTCCTGGATTGTGGAGAGCACCGTGGACCCCCGCCTCGCTCTGTTCAAGGTGCACTGCGTGGTGGGCTCAAGGTGTAAGCTGGGGAGGGAGGGCACAGCCGGGAGCACCAGGAGGGGTCAAAGGTTGATACCTCTGACCCACCCTGGCCCTCCGAGGAAGACTTGCTGGGCTGGGGGGCCTGGCTGGATGCCGACCCGGCACAGCTGGTGGCTGGGGCTGCAGAGCCCCGAGTTCCTGCCGAGGGCAGAGCCGGGCCCGGTGCCCTCATTCGTGGACGTCCCAGATTTCCGACAGCAGGGGCGGCAGCTTCTTATCCTGCAGCCGCAGTGCGAACACCTGCTCGGAGTGCACGGAGCTCAGCGTGCGCAGGCTCACCAGCTTCATGAGCATGCGCGGGAAGCGCAGCTGGTCCTGCAGGCAGGTGGGCGGGGACACGGTGAGCTGGGGGCGTGGGGGGGCTGGTTCCTGGGCGGGGCGCTGCCTGGGCCTGGGGGAGGCGCAGAGCCCCGTACCTGCGGCCTCTTGATGCGCGTGTAGGAGAGCAGGGCTTCCACGTAGGGCTGCTGCAGCGCCTCCACGCGCTTGGGCTCCTGTACGTTGGGCCGGTCGGCCGAGAAGATGTTGATGGCAATGAGAAGGGCGTACTCTGCGTCATCCAGGCCCAGCCTCCGCATGGCCCGGGAGAACTCGAAGATGGGATTGATGAACTCCACCTGCAGGCCTGTGGGGCCGGGGCAGAGGGCGTCAGGGATGGGGGCTGTCCTCGCCCCGGCCCCACCCACCTCCAGTGGTGATGATTTAATTGCCCTTGGCACCTTTGTCCCCTTCTACGTTCCTGCGAGCCCTGGTTACACATTTGGCTGCTAACCTGTAGTGACCTCATAGCACACAGTATAGCTGCCTCTGTGGGATTCCCAGAGTCTGAATCTTTAACTGGAGCAGGTAGCCTCGTCTTCCTTCCACACAGCAGCTGGTGGGCTCAAACTGCCAACCTTGCCGTTACTAGCTCAATGCAGTCACAACCCAGTACAACACCAGGACTCACAGGAACATAAACCAAAGCTAAATCACTGCCATTAAGTCGACTCAGACTCACTGTACGAGGCAAGGGAGAACCACCCCTGTGGGTTTCTGCGACTGACTCTTGAAAGGAATGGAAATCCTCATCTTTTTCCCACTGAGCGGTGGTTTCAAACTGCTAGCCTTTCGGCATGCAACCTAAAACCTAACCACTGGGCCACCGGGCGCCTTTCCAGGGCAAGGAAAGGAACAAAAGGGGCAGCAGAGAATCCACACTGAGACAGAGTATGTAAGGCCTGGAGATCTCCTTCCAAACATAAGCCCAAGAAAACCCTACAGACCCCAAGAGAAGGAAGATGTGCCCCCCGGTAAGCAGGTGCTGGACAGTACGCAGGGGCTCCAACAATGGGCTTGGGACGACCAGCAGTGGTGAGGATGAACCAAGAGTGGCAGCGCTTTGTTCCGCTGCACTTGATGCCTGTCCATAGCAGCGGACAGCAGCAAAGCTAGGCACCAAGCCTGAGGCAGGGCCCTCCCTTTTTCCACCTCCGGCCAGATGGCTGGGCGGGGCTATGCAAATGAAGTGCCTGTGGCCCGCCCAGGGGATTGGACAGCTTGCTAACAAGGTAAGTAAGGACCAAAGCACGTTGGTGGGTGTGGGGGGAATTGGTCATTTGAGCCTTCCCACCAGGCTTGCCGGAGCCAGTCATCCCAGAGCTGGGAAGGGGACTTACTCCCATCATGGAAGGTGGGCTCTGGGTAGAGAGCATGTCCTTGGGCCCCGAGATCCCTGCACAGAACCTCCTTGATACAGGAGACAGGGACCGGTGACCCCAAAGGCCGTGAACAGTCATGCAATGGTACCCCCAGAACTGCC